ATATATAAATGTATTAAACTACTGTATGTCGTGCGTGTTACCGACATTGATTTTTTTTCTCCTTTTATTTGTTTTATTGTTATTGATGGTCATAGCACGAATCAGTGCGCATCGCGTGCATCAGACTTAGTCCTTGCTTTTATTATCTCAAGTGATATTATTTCAGTTAATCATGATCACTCTCTTTCACGTTGAATCCTACAATGCAGATTAGTTATATCAATCAAATTCCATTTATTGTTCGTTAATCGACGAGAAAGCATCACCAGGATAGTGGCTAAGAATATCTATAATCAAAATTGCCTTTTATCCATTTAAATATAATGAAAATCGCCCAACACCAGGTCCATTTAACTTCGAGTGGCTTATAGAAATAGAACAATGGTTGGATAGAAAGCACAGCGTATTATTTATGAATAGAGCCTAAATTTAATAACATTGTGTTTATAACTTGGTCATAATATGAGCATGGAATTACATTGCCATAATATGAGGTGGGAGTTAAAATAATTCATTGCGTCGCCTTTGGGATTGCAAACACAACACGGGTAAGACTTACCCGAGAATATAGGCCTAACTTTAATATTGCAAATCAGGTTAAATGCCTATCGCCGGTCCGCCGATATCCCAATTAAAAAAGAAAACAAATAGTAATATTGATTAGGCCTGCATAATAATATGCTAGTTTATTTCATTTTTTTTTTATTGTGTATCGGTTGTTTTTGTTGTTAGTACAAAAATACGAATAGGCCCTACTAAATAGTTATTCAGGTATATTCAATATACTACACATGATAACATTAAAATGCATTTTTGGTATATGATGGGTATATGATGAAAAAGTAAAATGATAATGCAAAATTATGTACAGGTAGTCGAATATAACTTAAACGTTTAAAATGTCGATCATTTCTCTTCATATCCTACAACAGATCACAACGATCGATTGCATATTGCACTGCGTGATCTACTGTATTATCAAATTTTCTTTCGTTTTTTAAATTTAAAAGTACAGAATAAAGAATACTACAGCCTACCACTTGGTAATTTTCACATTTTCATTTGTTACTTTTTTGGAATGGCTTCTAACGTTAAAATTTCAAGGACAGTATTTTATTATCTCATTTGACTACTGTATTATCTCTTCTGGAGTTCAACTAGCAAGTTTTAATGGAGGTTTCATTAGCAAATACTACCATCTCATGATCATCAATCGTCACCATTATCATCGTACTCATCATCAATTGCAATTTTTTACTTTTCTACTATGGTGTGCAGGTCGTGCCAACTGGGAACAAATACAATAGAGCCCCTGGTAAAGGGACACCTTCGAGACCGAAAATAGTGTCCCCTTAATAGGGGTGTTCCCTGATTAGGGGTTGGCCGTAGTGTTAAAAGGTATATTCTCCTCAATTCATGGCCAAAAGTTACCCCATAATAAGGGTGTCCAAAAGTATACCGAAAAACGCCGAATAGAAGCCCAGGGCTTTTCAAGATGGGCCTCTTTTCGAAACAGGCTTCTTTTCAAAATTACTTTTGGAAACTAAAGAGGGCTTCTTTTCAAAATGAATGCTGTAATTTCAACTACGAGTCTCGAAATTCTGTTTAATATTTTTAAAATTTCAAGCATGCACACTGTACAGTTAAATAATATTTATATGGCCCGAGCACGCTATTATAATAATCAAAGATAACGTCAGTATGAATGTTAGAACTATCACGACAGACGTCCATATTATCTTGATTAGAAGCCCATCGAATTCTTTTCGAGATGGGCTTGTTTGTTTTCGAGATTACTTTTGAAAACTGAAGAGGGGGCTTCTCCTTGAGATTAAGCCCAAGCAGCTTACGTTAGAGGTTTTACGGTACATGAGAAATTTGAGAACATAGACGATTACATTAACAAGTTTTTTATACTTCAATGATTATTCATCTTTAGACATTGTATAAAAGCACAGGCCACAGGGCATCAATAAATAACCAGGCAAGCAAAACTGAAAAAAAAATACTAAAAAATCTTTTTAAAAAAATGTGCAGAAAGGATAAAGGTTTCTTTTGGCAAACTTACCTTTTATGAAAATTTATTCATTTTTATTTATTTATTTATTTTTTACATAAATGTTCATCAGATTTAATCATCTATAATATTTGCCTACTGTACGCTCTGGAAACAGAAATGTTAACGAAGCTTAGTTAATGCTCAACAAGTTAAAGGAAAGAAAAAGTATCGCTTTTGTGAAAATTATTTATTGATTGTAGCAAAGAGTAAAGAAGAGTATGTACTCTTTGCTAATAGAATGGCTTCACTAATACCTCATAATTATTGTAAATTTTGAGGGCACCTTTCACAAACAGTATTTTGAATAACCCATTATTAGCTGAAAAATGTTATTCTTTGAATGCTATTAAGTGCACAGCATATACAGTATCAATGCCTAAAGAAGGAAACTTGACAATAACAATCACATTTTTATTTAATCTAGGTGGCGCCAAGGGGCTTATTCAACATTTCTGCCCTCCACCAAAGTAAAAGTTAGGATATTTTATTTCAGACTTAAAGTATATATGCCTCAAATACTCCAAAACCAGTTTTAATTTCCCCCTTGTATTCTAGGCAAATTCAATGAAGTCACCCTCAGCCTGCCATGAGATTAACTTATTTTCCTGTTATCTTTTACAAAAGCCATTTTCAAGACTTATGTGCAATCTAGTGCAATCACCTTGGTATCTCATACCCATAATATGCCTTTCTAGGCCTCTTGCCTGTGGTCTAGGCTCCTTTTTTGATAACTAGCTCTGTAGAGCGACATTTTATGGGTTTGCTGTGTGCGTTAGAGCTTGGCCTAGCAAAAAAATATTCATCACGATGTAAAAACCCAGCTTTGAGATTTTTGCACACGACATGCAAATAATAACAGGCGCTACAGTATATATCGATTTAGTGCCTGCTTGGGGATACGAAAATTATATGCAAAATAAAAATGATGACATCACAACTGACCTACAAATACCACTAGATCTGACTACCTCTTACCTTTTTTAAATCCATTGATCAACATTGTGAAAGCTTTATGTATTTTTAATGTTTTTATTCCATTTATTTTCGCTTATCATTTTTGTTCACTCTATTTCCCTTTAGTGTACATTTAGGTATTTCTGTATTATAACCTAAATGAATGACTTACAGATTGTACTGTACTGTTCGAAAGGTGCTGATATAATTATTATAGTTCTGATGTACCTGAAACAGTAACATTGATTGCTAGGAATTGTACTCATATTGTTACCACTTATATCGCTGATGAAAAGGAGACAATTGTTTGACTCTTTGGAATGGTAATGATATCATTACCATTTTCAGCCCTGATACAACAGTCTTCAAACATGATTCTTGCGTTGTTGTTATCCATCTTCTTGTTGACAAAAATCTGCTAAAGCCACTCAATATTCAATTTCAAATTCAAAGTATTGTGCATCAAAGGTATGCATACGTATAAAACCATCTTCACCTCCGCTTGAGTACCTGCAAGGAGCGAACAACAAATAACGTTAATGGAGTCGAGCTTTGACATGTTGGTGAATGCTTGCTTTTCAGTCGTAAAATCCGGGGTTCAATGAACAATACCCGCCTTGCCCAATTACGACACTTGGTTTATTGGGTATTGAGTGTCTGAATGGATCAGTTCTCTACAACCCAAGCCTCATAAAATGCATCAAGATTATTACCAGATTTACTGGGTGAATAAATATGATTTTAAAAGATTACAAGAAAACTGCTACACTTACAAAGATAAACAAAATATTGTTCACTCACCCTTTACCATCTGGATGAAAAGCCACACTGTTGATTGGTCCAAAATGACCTTTAACACGGCCAAACTCCTCCTCAAACACAAGATGAAAGAATCTAGCATCAAACTTGCCGATCCTCGTTGATGTCGTGGTGACGTCCATAGCTTCTTGCCCTCCACCAAGAGCAACCTGGACACAAATTAAAATGTATGCCGATATGTAGTCATGAAGTGCCTATATATGGTCCTGATGTGAAGTCATGACCATATTTGCATATCACATGTTTTTGTCAAAATAAAATTAATAAGTCGGGACAGAGCTTTGGATGATGTTGCAAATTGGAATTCAGAATATTTATATTGATTAGTATAATATTGTAACCGGGTCAGAGTTTTTAGAGTTTTAGTACTTGTACTATCTTAATCTAGTGTCCTCCTTCCATATTCAATTTTGTGTTTTACTCTACTTTATCTGATGTCTCTTTATATTTACTTATTACCATTTGTCCATTTTTCATTGCTGCTTTAAGAACTTATAATTTACATGTAATAGAGTGATTCGGCGATTTTTGTTTACAGCTGGTCATATGAATTAACTTTGGTATACATGAAAAACATTACAGTGTGATAGTATAGGAAAAATAATGTTATGGTTACAAAATCAATTACCCAATGTTAAGGTGAGAAATAAATGGCTAGGAAAGGCAATTTGTTCAAAATAGTGTTTATTTACTTATCCTAGCGAGGTCTCCAATGTATGATGTTGTATGGTTTGGAATTTAAGTGATCCTTCATAAACCTAAGCTAGCCCTAACATCGCAGCGTAGTTCGGGGGTCGAAGACCATCATATATAACTAACCATGCCGTAGGTGTGCAAGGGCCTAGGCCTAACATTCTTCGAAAATTTTCAACGTTTACAGCCAGTGTCCTTCACAGCATTAGCAAACAGTTAAAGCAAAATTCTCAGGTTTAATTTCTAGGAATTACGATGACCTTTACAGCAATAAACAAGGAACGGCCGCAATAGCAATCTCCATGTTAAACACCGCTGTGTCAGTCGATTGTTTATATCCAACACCCAAGTTAGGTCATGTGACGCCCATCACCGAATTCCTCTATTTGGCCTCTAGGCTACGATATGTGAAGTGTTAATAAAATTGAATTGAATTGAAAAATGTAATAATAATAGTAATGATAATAATGCCAAATATTTATAAAGGAGCAGAGCGTTATTACCCCTGGGCACTGAATAGCATACAATAGCAAACCAGTACAAAGTGCAACCTTCACTGCTCCCTGAGGTGTATACATAGTTGTGCGCTTGTACTCAGAGTAAAAAACTAGTACATTCAATGCCACAACATCCTATTATTTACCAATTTATACTAGTAATAATAATCATAAGTTAATGATAATATATAAAATAATAATAATGATGATAATAAAATTTATAATAAAACAATAATGAGGCAGCAACAATTTTTAAAAAATAGGACAAATAGGGGAAAAAGTATATTCACAATGATAATAATATATAATTGAGAAAAACATATTTTTCCTATTGGGATTCGAACCCAAACCCCCTGACTACTGTTTGGTTACTCTACCAACAGCGCTGAGGCCGAACCGGTACAGTCCTTGATTTTCCCATTAGGATGTTGCTTAATGTTGGATTTGAATTAAACTATAATAAAATAAAATAAATCATAAGGTTTACGTACATGATCCCTAAAAGGAGATATTGCTGCGGAGTTCACAGGTCGCTCCGTCTTGAAGGTTTTCATGTGGTTTAATGTCGTAGCATCAAAAAGCTGTTATTACAAAAAAAAAAAAAAGAACATGATGACTGTGTTAAGATTATATTTCTTGTCACAAAAAGTATAAAAAAAAAAAAAAATTCATTTATCGTATAGAATAATGAATTTAAAAATCCAAATAAATTATCGACTTTTAATTGAATGTTAACATAAAAAAAAAAAAAAACCAAAATCCTTAAATTGATTGCAAATAAATGTAACAAGGACAAGCCAAACCAGTCACTCCTCGCAAATCATGTTTCGAAGATAATGGACAAAACATGTTAAAATGTCAACATTTTCAATATCAATTTTATGGCACTAAACCAAACTAAATATATATCTATACATCATGCTAAATGGTTATTTTCAATGTTAAAACAACTTTTTTTTAACTATTTAGTGACGTTCTCTGAATGAGAAATGTCCAAAATCGTTAACTTTAAAAGCTGATTTCTCAAATACTGTTTTTTAAAAAGCTGTATGTTTAAACTTCTGTAACTTCATAACGAAATGTCAGATTTAAATGATACTTTTACCATTTTATAACTTCCATTTTACTGTTTAACCCTGTTGTAATAACTAAACAATTTGTGAGGAGTGATCTAAAAGAATTTACCTTTGCTGTTGTGTCTTTCGAAGCCGAAATGATGAGCGTGTCATTGCGTCCCTTTTGTAAATCATTAATGCTATTCTTATGTTCTTTCACTGTCTGCACAACATCTCTTGCCTGAAATCAAAGTGACAGAAACAACCAACTTGAAACAATTAATGGATGAAAACAATCTCTGCTAAATCGTATTAAGTGTAATTTAACAAATTCATGGAATTTTTCTATGTCATAAGGCCATGATACCATATTACACACATTATATAGATATGATGATGTCATAACACACCCTTATGTGGAAAATCACAGGAATTCGCGACATAAAACTGGTTAGTATTTTTATGAGATTTAAGGGTGACAAAAAACCAAAAAGGTACCACTTTTTTTTTTTTGTCAAACCTGATGCATATGTAATGTCATACCTTGATGTCATAAAGCCGAATTTCACCATTTTCATGACCCGATAAGATGTAACTGTCCAATCCTAACCAAACGGCACTTGTGACCTTTGGCCCCTCTACATCAAACACCATACATGGCTTGTTGTTTTCTGTAAAAAAAAAAAAAGATTTTGTTGATTCATATTTCGTAGAACAACTAGAAGTTTGTTTCTTTGAAAATGTTAACATTTCTTAACCTATCATCCCATTGACACTGAAGAAAGGTATAGTCATGAGCAAGGGATTGGTTTTCCCCTATGACAACAGTAGCTAGATACCTGGTCTACCGATAAGCAATAAGAAATGGGGGTGGGACTAGAATTTTTTATGAGATAGTAATATAGTCATAGCCTATCACTTCATAAAGACATTTGTAAATTGTCTAATTCATTTAACTGATGAATTGTACCCCGGGCAAATACTCGAAAGGCGGCTGAAATCTGAAACTTAGATTAATTTAAATAATTTGTGGGGGGGGGGGCAGCTTACGTTCAAGCATTGGCTTACACTCGGTAACCTACGGTACTATTATAGTATACATGAACTTACTGACTTGACTGCCGTCTGCCGTATCAAACAGCATTATCTGACATGTTTGACCCATGGTTCTGTCTGTTGAAAACATCATTGTACGGGCACTGTAATTAAACCCGCAAGTTCTGATAGCCGACTTCATTTCAAAATCCATCAATTGTGTACCTTAGAAATTAACAAGGAGATGCATGTTAATGAAAACTAAATGTTTTTATTTATAGTATTGTACAATTGCCAAATGTAAACAGGCTCAAGAAATAAATCATCGGGGTGGTTTCAATTGCTTATGAGTATATCAAAAGGTCAGTCTGCTATTGAAAGCAGTCATCATAGAATCATAAGATTCCTGAAAAAAGACCTTTCCGCTAAGGCCCGCTCCTTGGATACTGTTGCTAAGGTCTCTCTGGTTGTACAACTGGTCAGATCTTCACATTTTTAGGTAATCTTTAGAGTGCTATCCCTTGAGCAAGTTCAGATATTTTAGTGCTTTATCATATTTAGCACACATTTAGAGTTAGAACTAGCCAAATAGTTTGTTTTTTTGGATTGTTTTTCATTCTAAGCTAATAATGTTTTATACACCGAATAGTGCTAGCGCTGTCTCGGGTATGTCAGGCAGTAGTGTGCTGTGACAAGTATTGTGTTTTTCCCCCCACCACCACTTAGTCTGTCTCTTATACACATCTAGATGTGTATAAGAGACAGCAATAGTATTACGGTACTTCAAATAAAATATTTTCTGTGGTAAACATCTGGAAGCAATCTCAAATTTTCTATTAATACTTTTGAATTGCTCAGTTGAACTTATCAAGAAGTTAATCAACATCCAATGAGAAACAGATAGTAACAATTTAGTTTTCGCTGATTTTACTGATGTTTCCTAAAAAAGGGATGAGTTTGTGAGTGAGTGGGTGAGTTTGTTAAGGGAAAAGTTTGCTAAGTGGGTGAGTTTGTTGTGGGCAACCTTTAGACACATTAATTTTTTGACAGAAGAAAACAATGAAAGAAAGAAAAATGTTATTTAGTTAATATCAAAAAAGGATACAATTGGCATCAATGCACCAGACAGCACCACCATGGGTGGGTGAGTTTGTTGTGGGGACAAGCTTGTTAAGGGGCAAGCTTGTTAAGGGGCAAGTTTGTTAAATAGCGAGTTTATTATGAGGGAGAGCTTATTAGGTGACGAGTTTGTTAAGGGGCAAGTTTGTAGGTGTGAGATTGTTAAGGGGGCGGGTTTGTAGGCTAAGTTTGTTAAGGAGCAAGTTTGTAGGGGGAGACTGTGTATAGTCGGGGAAAGTTTGTAGGGGCTAGCTTATTAGGGGGAAAGTTTGTTAGGGGCGAGTTTGTTAAAGGGCCAACTGTGTATAGACGGGGAAAGTTTGTATGGGCGAGTTTGTTAGGTGGTGAGTTTGTTAGGGGGCGAGTTTGTTAGGGGGCGAGTTTGTAGGGAGTGACTGTGTACAGTTGTAAGTGAGCTTGTCAAAGAGTGAGTGTGATGAGTTGAGTGGATCCCACTTAAACAGCTGAGTCAATTTAAAGTTCCATGCGTTGTATAGAAGAATGGTATTATTCAAATACACCTTTTACTTGGCAAAGGAATGCAAGTTCTGCCTATAACTTTAAACTGAAAGCTAACAATACAAATCATTTCAATGTTTACAAAGCTTAACCCTCTTGATACCGGATTCTTTTGTAGTGCAAACCCTTGAATACCGGATTCTTTTGCAGTGTAAGAAGGTTTTTTGCATTTTTTGAGTATACGTCGTTCTGGTGGATTTTTGGGAACTTTCTGTAAATTATACAGAAAAATGTTTCTAAAAACAAAGAAAGCTTATAGAATAAGCTTTCAATTGATGTATAATTTATATTTTTGGGAATTTTTTTTTCATAATATAATATAATATATATATAATATAATAGAAATGTCAAATGACAGAAAAATGCTACATATAAATCGTCACCAAAAACCGAAAAAAAAATAAATTATAGCCAAATAAAAATAAAAACAAATATAAAACATTCCTATTCCACACAGTTATATAATTTATTTACCCAACCATCCATAACTATAAGCGCGATCTTTCCATTCAAAAGCGTCGACTACCCTCACATTTTTAGGCCTAGGCTCATCTTCATCAAGAACATCTCCGCCGTCAGAACTGCTTGAAGCCCCACCGTCATCATCGTTAACAGGCACGTCTAAGTCTCGCACATCTAAAAATTCACCTTCATCGCTGTCTGAATCAAAAATCAGGTCAATCGCTTGCTCAGCTGTGTACACATCTTGTGCGGCCATTTCGAAAAATTTTCGAAATTAATAACGATTTCAAAGTGATATTTCTAAAATTTTTTATATAAGCGCATGTGAATTCTTCACAGATTTCGAAAGACAAAAGCTTCACGCATGCGTGTTCAACATTTCTGACGTATTAGAGCTAAAATAAAAACAGAAGAGCGATTTGAAAACCACCTATTTTTTAGTCACTAAATTTTGATTGCAGTCGAAAATGGGAATTCTCGGTTTGAGGTCAATTTCGACTACAGTCGAAGACGGTATCTAGAGGGTTAATACTGTTGAAAATCTTGTTATCATCATCAAATACTCACCAGTTTCGCAATCCCACAACCGACAGGTGTTATCGGCAGAGCCTGTCAATACTTGTGTTGTATCCCCTTGAAAAATAAATTAAGGAATAACATGGTTTTCAAAGAGGTTGATTAAATGTGACGCTGTGGCAAAACTCTACAATCTTAGTATGTATTTCAGATTTTCGCACAGCAGCCAAAATATTGTTAATGATCAATTTTAGGTTTTGTAGATAAAAGAAGTCAAAATGAGAAAAACAATTCTGCCAAATATTTATAACTAAATCTCACTAAAAATTACAGTATTTTTAAATAACTACCACAATGTAAAAAAAAAATCAAACTACTGACTTTAGACCTACTTTAGAAATCTTTTGTTTGTTCTGAAAAAAAAAAACCTACATGACTATGAACTTAATATTCATAAGGCCAAGTAATAAAAAATAATTGGTTAGCATCCTTTTGGTATCAAATTTCATGGTAGGGAGGGAGGTTTTTTTTTTTTCTTGTCGAACATGAAAAACCAGAGTCGGAAGAAAAATTAGCAAAACAAAGAAGAGGAAAACAACATAGGCCAAAATTGGATACAAGAAATCATGTAATTCATCTATAACAAGCAGATAAGCTTTGCCTATATGTTGTCATATTGAAATTCCTATATATGATGTTTTAAAACATGCAACATTGTATATGTTTACAGAACTGATGATATCGATAACAGGTTTATAAAGCATTCCATCCTAAGTGGCGAGTGTAATTGCTGTTGGATGTGAAATTAAAAATAAAAATAACAACAGCAAAATAAGAAGATTGAAGTTTGTCATAGTCGTATAATAATTCATTTAATATTGTCCATTCATAAACAGAAAAGTAATTTTTGAACTGGCATTTTGTACAATTGATTACTATTTGTGATTGTTTATGTGATTGAGTATGTACATTATAATGATAATACTCAATTAGTGAATACTGTTAATGAGTTTGACTAGTATCATGTGCTATGTTTATGCTGAAAAACACTCTGACATCTAGTTGGACCAGCTGTTTGGAAACATCACGTCACTGTACCAGCATGTGAATATTCCACGCCTTGTGTTTTAAGTTTGTGTTTGCTGGACATTAATTATAACTGGACCATACTGGGTTTGTTGTTGGAACAACACAACAGTCATCATTGATGCCATGCAGGGGTTTCGCCAGAAAAACATAATAGACGGCCTATTTTGTTTTTCCAAAATAGAAGCCAGTGGGCGTTGCAATGAGCCGATGGCGGGCCACGCCCATCGTTAATAATCCCCACCGATTATTGGTACGAAAATGTACATTCAATCAATAAATGTTGTTTTTATCAAACGTAAATATGATTTACCTTTAGTTTAACGTAACAATCGATAGATTTGAAGAATACATAAAGAATTTGCTAAAGGTATACCAGGCCCAATTAGGCTAGGCCGAGCTGATTAGGCCAAGTCGTCGCGGTAAAAGTTGCCGTCCTAAATAATTGTAGGCAGTCCAAAAGACGGCCGGACGGCTCGCTCGCTAATATACGCATGCACTATCTCGCCACTATATTTCCAGTATTATAAATTTATCTATGCTGTCCTACCTATGAAATAGCGTGAAATATTTGTTTTATTTAGCTTATCTTTAAAATTTTATTTCGTGAAATATTGCACACAGGTAAGAAGTGACAGCCATGTTTGTTGTCTTGTCTTGATGTCTTGTCTCCGGTCACCACAGAGGGGTTCCTCCTTGTTTCTCTTTCGCGCTGTTGATGTATACTTCCAAAGTGATGGAAATACCAACGCGCTGATTGGCCGACTTGGCTTTTCTGCACAAAGCATGAGACGTAAGCATCGGATCGGAGTTTAGTTTGCTAATATAAACCTAATCCCGAGTAAATCTTAATGCTTTGCATCGGCTGTACCGTGTATACAAATACACTCTTTTTATACTACTATTGTACTATAAAACTAGGCCTTTTCTAGGTAGAAGCAAGGACTAGGCTAGCCTAGGCCTAGAGGCGACGATGATGGAATGGCACTGCAGGGATAAGCCCAGTCGGCTGGCGTTCGGACGGATGGTAAACAAGTTCCAACAATAATAACAAAAAAAAAAAAACATTTTTTTTTTTTTTGTAAAAAAAAAAAAAAAAAAAAAAAATCCAGGTCGGGGGCTTTTTCGACGGTCGGGCGGGGATGCTAACCAATTGCTTTATTTTATGTGGCCTAACTCCTCATTAAACACAAAACATTCTTATAACATTGCAGGAACGTTGAAATATTACGCAGTTGTGAAATTATGCTATGTACATATTTAAGGTTCTACAAAATAACACTTTCAACAACAAACTGTAACATTATTTTAACATTCTTATAAAGTAATATTGTTAGCTGGGTCTGCAATTACTCAAACAATTTTCATCAAACACTTATTTTAAGATTAACTAATAAGAGTGAAATGTATAATTAAATTTAGATTTAAACCACTGATTCATCCAATAATCCAAGACAACTTGTCACATTTGCGGTTATTTATTCTGTATAACAGCAAATATATTTGGTGCAACCATTTTGAAAGTTTTGAAAAACTGCGCTAAAATTTGGTGGTCTACAAAATTAAAACAAATTCAATTCCTGTTAGAAACAGTGGTTTATTATAGGCTATTAATTTTGGCAGTGGCTAGGAATACGGACCAGGTACCACACACTATACCTCAGTGAAGTGAGTGTTCCTAGCTGTTGCCAACCCTAACCTTTCATTTTCCTTATCGAGGCAGCGTATGGTACTATACAGTGCCTATAGCAGCACCTTTAGACACATTAATTTTTTGACAGAAGAAAACAATGAAAGAAACAAAAATGTTATTTAGTTAATATCAAAAAAGGATACAATTGGCATCAATGCACCAGACAGCACCACCATGACCATTAAATGTTCCAAGCCGTTCACCGTTGAGGGAGTACCAAATCGAAGGTTGATTATCCTTGGCACATGACAGCAGCAGATCCCCTTCACGGTTGTACTTGATTTGAGTGATGGATCGCTCGTGGCCAAATAAAACAATTGGTTTCTAGGAATAATTAATAAATTAATATAATTAAAAAAATGATCTGAACATTTTAAATGCTTTTTTATGCTTGTTTTACTACTGATTTAAAAAAAAATATCAAACTTTTATCTTTACAGTAGGCAAAATTCTATTTTGTAGGCAATTGTTTTTGTTTTGTTTTTGTTTTTTTGTCACTCGGCAGTGATTAAGTTCACCTTTGAGGTGTTCCTGTCTTATTTATGTCCTTTAGTGCTTGTTCCTTGCTGTTTCTGTTCTTGTGAATATTAATGTTTTTAAGACAAATAAATGAAATGAAATGCAGTACTGTACACGTAGAAGAAACATTTTAAATACTCCAAAATTCCTAATTAAAAAAAAAAAAAAAAGTCAGACTATCAATATTTTATAGTACACTGACTTCTGAATCTGAATCCTGCTGAACTCAATGAGCTTGATTGTAGCATAGGTCAACTTCCTGTACAGATCTAAAGCTAGGCCTAGTTATCCAGGTCGATATTAACTACCTACGCCTAGCGGATAAACGAACAGGTACAGGGTGCAATACTGGAATTTAAAGCTAAAAAGACTAGCCTAGCTAGCCTGGCCTAGCTTTTACGAACTCAACTGTTGCATACTGATATACTTTTCTCCTTAATAAACATACTTACCATTACAATACAATTTTCTGTTTACAAAAATATGAAAGTAACGCCGATTATATTACTAATTTAAGTCTAAAATTCACAACATTTGCTGAAAAATGAAGTAACATCAACCCGCGTGTTGAGTAGCAATACAATACGCCCTCTTTCGGTATCACGGTGACTGAAATAGAAAACCGAGACTCAAAAAAATTCAAACATATTATTGGAATCGTTCCTGATAATTAATGTCGAAATATTGAATCCCAACACGATGGCGTGCATTTCAATACTTGGAGTATGTATTATACTTTCCTAATTGGAATAGGCCTACTCATAATGCGTGTTCAAAGTGCATAGGCTTTCATAAATATTATTAATAATATATACAAATTTGTATACAACAGTTGATTAACTCATTTTCTAGGTAGTCCATCAAACACATGCTATGTCTAAAATTTTCGAAGATACAGTAATATGGATGGCACGCATAGCCTTTTTCAACATAAACAGTTTTAAGGGTAAGGAGGCTATGCAAATACAGTAGAACTCATTCCTTTGGGGACATCCCTGTTCAGGAGACACCCCTACTAAGAAAACGAAGGAAAATATTATCATTTCACCCCTATTTTAAGGAGACACTGTTTTATTTTTTATTGAATCACAATTATTACAGCAGTCTAAAAATTAAAAAGAATAAAAAAAAATAAAAATAATTCAACTTTATATGGCACCAACTTAATATAAGACCAAAATTCTCTCCAATCGTATAAACCAATTTTAACCCAAGTAATCAGGATTTATAATTTATTTTTTATTTGTTTGTGTACTTTATAGGATTCTAATCCATACTAAAGCATGCACCCTTGTTTGTAAGTCGTTACTCTATTCATGCTACGCATCGTAAGCTTATTATTAAAAAAAAAACAAACAAACAAAAACAAAAAAACATGAAATATTGGAAATTTTCTGCTGATTTCTTGTGATAGGCCTAAGTGAAATGTATTGGCATATTTGCATTGCAAATTATTGCTATGAATTTTTAATTCATCCGTACTGTAACTCATTTTCATGTCAATAAAATATTATTATAAAGAATGTATGCCATCGTTGTATGAAAACATTTTTAAAAACCCTATCAAGGGGACGTTTCAATTTCATTTCGGTCAGTTAATACATGTATCAGACATCACTATTAAGAGAACACTTTGGTCCTGAAGATATCCCCTTAGAAGCACCACAACTTTAAAAAGGAAATAAGAAATTATAGCACAAGAAATTAAAGCGCAATATCAATGTTGTGTTTTTATATAATTGTTTATCAGAAAATTGTTTAATTTCTTTGAAAGTGAAAGGGAGGATTTATACTTATTTAGCATATAGATTTCCATGCAGATATGAAATTTTATTCTTCCATGTGCCATGGTTATTCAGATGGCCGGATTGCACTAAAATTCATCATCATGTACCTACTCTGGCTGTACAGCGCTCTTTCGTTAAAACCTGTTCATTTCAACAATTTTCAGGCATCTTCTGGACTTTTTATGAAATTACATTGAGGTCGAAAAATGGGCGGGGGGGGGAGGGGTGAGGACAATAAACCTGAGGAACTCGTCCTCTCCCCCCCCCCCCGACCCAATCTGTGCCCTTGGTATCATTGGAAACTGATAAAAATTTTTATCAAAAAAAAAACTTTTATCAAATGATTTAATGGGGTTTTTGGCCTTGTGGTGTATCAAACTCTTTCATTTTATTTGCAGTTTAGATTTTTAATTTGCGTTCTTTTCTTGTGTGTCTGATGTTTACTTTTTCTATGTGAACGAGTTATATTAAAACGCATGCGCCGAATAACAATCACTGTAGGCTGGGTAGCTCTCTCTGGGAGAAATGTGGTTTGTGCCAGATGTCGTTGCAGAAATTGTATGTGTATTGTTGATTTGAGGTTCCCTCACCTGCTGCAAGGACATGGACATGCTGTACAACTAAGCCTATAGCCTAAGGCCTAAACTACGAACAAACCATTATTTTGAAGTTGATTGTTTTTTAGTTGAATTGTTTTCTGATGATAAGATGTTTAAGAGAAAAGAAAAAGCAAGTACAAGTAGATCTAGTGGTAAACCCACAAATGAATTGGCAGCTCAGGTAAGCTAAAATAATGCTTAGACTATGTAGGGCTAGGCTAGGCCCTCCTCTCGCGTCCTGATCGACAGATCTATCAAGTAGGCCTAGGCCGAGGCTTTATTTAGGCCAGGCCTAGCTAGTAGGATCCTGGTCTGTTGCTTTATGTGGCCACAAGTCAAATCCAGATCATCTGATGAACAGGCTGAATATTTACTCTCTGTTAGAGTGTTATTTTATTAAAAAGGAGCGTGTACTACTACAGTGTGTAGCTAGGCCATAGGCTAGGCCTAGGCCTACGTATAAAGACTAAAGTTAGTATACTCATCATGGAGGATTTACTGTAGTCATGGATTATTGTGGCATGGTTTGTTTATCACTGCCCTGTATTGCCACGCCCCCTGCCTGGGACTAGGCCTAGGGGGTTTTGGGCTAGGCTAGGGTAGGCCCTAGGATGAAAACACTGCCATAGCCTTACTGATTTTGATTTTTGTATTGTTTACTTGTAATACTGTGTAGTATGGACCTGTTTCCAAAATAAAGAGAATATATAGTGTACAGTACTTGTGAATTTTTTTTAAATCATGTATTAACTTTTTCATATTTGTATGTAGCTTGGGCTCTTTGATGTTCCAAATATAGAATCATTGAATGCAGGTATCATGCAAGATGATGGAAATGATGAGGATCTGGAGGCGGAGCTGGCGGTGCTGTTAGGTGGAGATCCATCGCCAAAGCCCAAACCAAAACATCAGACAAAAGGCATGTCGATTCAGAATATAAACATATATTTTTATTCACATTATACTTCATAAATCCAGAGCAAGAAATTGTAGTTGAAATGAACAATTTGGTGTAACTGTATATAAAAATAGGAGTGAAGTTTTGCACTACCTCAAGCGTTATTGTACTATCAATATGTTTTTAGGTACTGGCAAAAAAAAATTGCAAGTATTTGGGTGGGAATCGAACCCATGACCTCCAGATATCTAGCCCGGTGTCATAGAAACTAGACCACTGATCTTGTGCTTAGGAACTTAGTAGTATGTAAACATTTACCGCAAAAGTCAGTACTTAACACAACAATGTTCAATCAATTTGTGTTTCATTTACAACATTCTGAATTTGTTAATTTATTTGTTAAAATTGATGGATTTTGGGTGGTATTAATTAATATTGATTATTATTGGTTTGTATTGATTAGTAGTGATTGATGTTTTGTATTGCTATATATGAATTTACATTTGTTAGCATCAATTAAAGTTGGATAATATGGTTTGCCAATAATTGATTAGGTAATTGGTACTTATTGCACTATATTGATTGCATTATATTGATTGTCAATTCATGGATTTTTTAGGATCTGTATTATTTCCTTTTTTTCCCCTTTTTTTTTTTCAGGAGGTACATCAATGATGGAGATTGACAGCATGGTGGCTGATGTAATGAATGACAAGCACCTTGATGAGAGTGACACTGATGATGTGGAGAATGATGAAGACCTTTTAGTGAGTATTCTTTAAAGCAAATACTATTATCCACCATGGAGAGGTATTTGAGAGCGATGTGTGTCCATCCTTGTCCTCATCACCATCATAATCATTATCATCAACATCATTATTTATGTTGAAACTAAGTTTTAAAACTGGTTTCACAGTATAGGAGTGAAAAACATAATATCATTATTTATGTTTATCTGATTGATGGTTTTCTTGCTTGCAGGCAGAATTTCAGGAACTGGTAGCAGATGGCGGACCTTCCCCTGCGAAGCAACCATCTCCAGACTCCGCCATAGCTCAAGCCACCCCGTCAGTTGAGGAGGAGCAGTTTAAAACAGATGTAATATCAATTGTAGCCGAGCGGTTAGAGAACTACAACGCAGCAATCGCTAACGCGAAAGCAAATGGAGAAGACTCAAAGGTTAGAAGATACACCCGAGGACTAGAGGTAAATGTAACTTTGAAATATTAGATTAGATTATCAAATTTTCTTATACAACAAATTGTTGTATGCCCATATTTAGTATTGATGTACCTATATATGGTCATAATATGATGTCATCATGACCATATTTAGGCATGTCACATGTCTTTGCCCCACCCCTTGGTTATTGTTGCTAAGGTCCCACAGAGCAACGGTGTGAAAATATACACAAACACATGTGTTTGTGGGACAACAAGTGTGTTTGTGAGACTCGCTCGTTATCTTGGCCCTGATCTGATAGGTTCATTGATAAGTTTGATTGACACTCTGGGAAGGTCCATTGTATGGTAAAGACCACAATGATCGGCTCATTTTAAATATGAAACTTTTTGATGAATAAATAAATTGATACATTTGATAATAGGTAGATCGATGAATGTAGGTATTGCATTCATCGATGGTGTTGGTAGTTACTGCAGAACTGTATAAAATGTTGATGGAGGGATGAATTGATTGATGAATGGATGGATGTATATATGGATGTATACTGTATGGATGTACATATTGTTGTACATATGGATGTACATATGAATATATATGGGTGTATATATGGATGTATATAGGGATGTACATATAGATATATAGATGTATATATGGATGCATATATAGATGTATATATATATATATATATATATATGGATGTACATATGGATGTATATTTGTGGATGTATATATATGGATGTACATTTGGTTGTACATATGGATGTATATATGCATGTATAGATTTATATATATGGATGGATGTATATATTGATATACACCTGTATGGATGTGCATATGGATGTATATATAGATGTACATATTGATGTATATATGGATGTACATAAGGATGTATAGATGTACATATGGATGTATATGGATGAATGGATTGGAAAAATAATGGAAAGATAGATGAATAGATAGATGTATCGATGCATATCTTAGGTAGATATTGTAGGTAGATGGTTGAATGGATAAAAACACAGACAGATATTAAGTAAATATATTTTATTTCTTACTATACATTTACATATATTTAAATATGTAAATCTGCCATTAGTCAAATATTAATTTCCATAATTCTATTTCTAATTCTAAAGCAAGTAAAGGCTATCGATAAAAAACTGAAATCTGGGAAAACAGTCGACCCTGCAGACATCCCACCTCCAGTCATCGTCGGTAAACCGCCTCCCTCAAAAGAAACTGCAGCACCACCACCTCCAAAGCCTGTGGAAGAAGTAAGACCACCCCCAAGCATATCAGTTCAACCTGCCCCACCGGAGCCATCCCTGGGGCAAGCTTCAAAACCAAGCATCAAATCAGGTGAAAGAGAACATTATATTATTTTTATTTTTTTATATGTTTTTAAGATTTTTTAAATTTTTTATATTTTTTAAAATATTTTGTATATATTTTTTTCCTTTTTTTATTTTATTATTTTTTATATTTAAAAAAACAAAACTAACCCAAAATTGAAAAGGTTTTAATTGGCACCTTGTGCTATCATCAATATTGCTTTTTGAATTGAGATAAAAAAGTATTTATTTTTGTGTCCACTGCCCACTTGCAAGCAAGTAAACAAACACCTTGCTCTCATTTGTCCTGTAAGTTGTATGAGTAAATCCAGTTGAAGGAATGATGGGATGTGTCATATAAGCTACATGTAAAGATAAAAACGAAACAATCTTCCAAAATTAAGCCTACAAAATATAATGCTATGCCTACAGCAGTTGACACATGCTCCTGCTGAGAGCCTATCTTAATATTTATTATAATTTTACTGCTTTTATCAATAGTATTAGTATTGCCATTTATAGAATTATGTCTAATATAATTTTGTTTCCATAGATTCTAGGTATGTTCAGTTGTCTCAGAGAGGTGATCAGTACAAACAAGCTGCAATAGAAGCTAAACAAAAAGGAGATATGGACGCAGCTAAGGAATACCTCATGATATCCAAGGTATGTTGCTTGTTGTCTCGCATGGTCACATGACAAAATGAAGCATGAGCCCACAGTAATTCCACCAATATGAACACAGTTTTGGCATGTCATGGAAAGTCCTTTTGAAAGTTGGCATTTGCACATGTTTATGAGACATTGTAAGTCGGCACTATTTCTACTAATCATATTTAATATATTAATAATAAGAATAATTCTTTATCTGTCCTCATAATTTGAAATTAGATGTTTGGGCTGGACACCTGCAGCAACCACATGGCAGCACTATCCGATATTACAATGGACACATACAGATAAAAACATTGTCCTTAACCCGCCTAACTCTCAATATTAGCGTTATTTAAAGACCCAAGTGATCAGATTCCAATTAAATCCCAATAGTGGCCAGGTTTGAAGAGGGGTCTTCTTTACCAAGAGAAGTTGGAAACAACACCTCAGCCAACACTCAGCTCCTACACAGCTACAGAATAATTTCATCAATTTTGAAGTTGTATTAACGTATGTGAAGATATATGTCACAAGCCACAGAAATCATGGGAATTTTATTCTAAAACTTAGGCTAGCTACTGCCGAATGACTTTTTACAGATTGAGGGATTGTGGGTAATTATAGTTAAATTAAAATCTGATAATAATATAACAGTTGTATAGCAATGCATCAGGTGCAAGCCTCTATGCACTTCACATATTATAAATGGTCATTTTTGTCAAATATTTTAATTGGAATATATACCTGCTTAGCTTCCTTGGGTGGGACGTCCATAATGTTATACTGTGCACTGTGCATTTAGTATTCAAATCCACTAGATATACTGTACACTTGTACTCTTAATTGTAAAGAGATAAGATAGATTAAATCTTTGTCCTAGGACAGAAACAATTGGACAGCCACTGACTCAAACCCCCAACCTCCTTCTTCCTCTTTTGGGCCAATCATATTTGAAGGTTTTGGCCTAGTAGCTCATTTTTTAGCTCCGATGAGAAGCTCCAGAAATACTTGGCTGATTGAATAATATATATTTTATTTTATGTGGAGCCGTTGGGGTCAATATACTGTACTCTACTGTCTTTATTATGATGCTTCTATCGAAGCTTTCGAGATTACGAGAACTTGTTTTTTCTGGAAGGTGCCATACCAGTTTGTGCAGTATATACAATTATTATTTTTAAAGTTTTTATTAGAATCCTGAAAATTTACCTATATAGCAAGATTTAGCCTTCTAATTTAAATAAAAATATAAGAAAATAGAGAAAAAAATAACATCTGATTAATAATCGAAATTTTCTTTCAGCAATTCCAAGTTGTCCTGAAAGATTTTGAAGAAACTGGAGATGTAGATCTTACTGACATGCCTCCACCTCCCCCTGGATTTGGAACAGCTGGGGTACAAAGTGCGGCAACTGTCGAAGATGTATCAAATCCAAAAGATGCTGTTGAGGCGATGGAACAGAGGCTTAGGAAGTACAAGCAGTCTCAGGAAAGTGCTAATGCGGAAAATAATTCGGGGAAATCGAGGAGGATGGGAAGAATAATTAAGGTAAGTTGTTTTGGGTTTCAAGTTCATAAATAAAGAACACAAAAGTTATCGTTCGATCTAAACCACATCGTAACGTAGTATGTTCAGTAGCATATTGTCTATGAAAATGTATGGTCTTCAGTTTAACTGCAGGAATAATAGCTCTAAAGTTATTGTACAGTATGAAATGTTTGTTTATATTAATAAATTCAACATTATTATGGCTAAAAGCCAATCTCTATTATTAATCAAAATATTAAATTTTGTTTCCGGTTACCATATCCTCTATTTGTGCCTCCAATGAAAATATGCCTTTGGAACCTTTTTGTTTTGATCTAATTTATAAAAGTGTGTTAGTAGAGGCCCAAGGAATAACAAGATTGTTATACACATTGGGAATTTTACTGTTGAATTTCAGGTTCACTGTTTATAAGTAATAAGGGTATTATTAATTATTATTGTTATTATTGAATACTGAAAATCTATTTGTCCAAAGGAATTTGTTGTGTTAACAAAAAAATATTAGTACAGTATATAACAAAGACATTACAACATGTATACAGATAATCTGTAGGTAGTATTAAAAAATATGTAATATTAATTCATTTAATTAGAATGAATCTAATTGCTCATTATTTTATGTAAAATTTGTTTCGTTTAGCAATATGAAGATGCAATAAAGAAGGAAAAAGCTGGAAAACCTGTAGATTACGAGGAACTCCCAGCACCCCCTGGTTACCCACCTATACCACAACGAAGAGCAACAAAGGCAGCAGCCCCTCCTCAACTCAAGCCAAGGACAGTACCAACATCTCCGGCAGCCGCTCCTAAAGCACAGCCTAGACAAACATCACCAGGTAAATTCTTAAAGCAAAGAGTATAGATCTGCGAGAGTTCCGAATCGTTTCGTTGAAACGCAATCCAATCTTGAAAAGTTCTACCAGAAAGTAGAGGGCCATCCTTAAAACAAATAAAAGGCGTTCGTTTCGAACTTTTGCTGCCTCTGTTAGGACGCATGTTCAAGTTTCGAACTCTATTTGAATTCTAATAGAGCGCCCCCTATCTTGTGGTGGTACTTTGTTTTTCGTTTCATTGAGTGCGTGCAAAATGAAGGCAGTCAGACCTCTTGCAATTCTATACAATACTCTTTACTTAAAGTTAATCATTGTTGCCACAGGCGGAATTCAAGGGGGGGGGGGCAGCTAGCCCGGGCCCCACCCCCCTAAATTTGTCAAAATTGAAAAAATAAAATAAAAAGAAAGAAGAAAATTCTACTAAAATTTTCAGTCTAGGAGTGCCATTTTCGGCCATCTAGAGATGCCATAATCATAAATTTTCTTACCTCCAACCAACCATGGTGGAGCTAAATAGTATAGACCCTCCACCTGTGAAAGTCCCTCTCCTGGCCCCCCTCTATTTCAAATTCCTGGATCCACCACTGGTTGCAGATGTAGCATTGTGTTCTTTGTTGCTGTTTTGTTGATAAAGAAAAAAAAGATTGTATGCGAAGGGGAGTGATTCACCTTTTTTTTATAAAGACTTTCATTATAAAGGGCTTAAATGATAATTAAAAATGTGCTCAAAGAAATATCTTTGAGGCTATAACCATTAGGCAGCTTCTCCACGTACCACAGAATTGGTACTTTCGAATACTAATTGTACTATAGGATGTTGATTAGTGAATGAAGTTTTTTGTGTTCAGTAAAAAATTATGGATCGCAGGTTTTTCCATTTTGAAAAAAAACATGATTTTGGGTATTAAACTGTTGTCAATAACACACATCCCTTTTAAATGTAATGATATATGTAGAATTTAAATATTGATTATTTATTATTGGTTTGTTTTGCATGCATCACCAGCACTTAAACCAACAGTTGCAAAGCAGCTTGATGTTCTTGAAAAAAGAAAGAAGCAATTCCAGATCAAGGCACTTGAAGCCAAGAAGCAAGGGGACATGGATGAGGCCAAGAGGTTAATCAAGATAGCAAAGGTCAGATATACTTCGTTACAATTGACTTCTTCCACCTTGTTTCATTCTTCACCATGTCTTCCCATTTCTCTTAGCTATAATACTCCATTGTCTTTACAGTGGGCAACCAACTTCAAATTTTACTTTTCTTCAGGTAGATAATTTTAGATAATGCTGCAAAACTGTCTATACGCAACCAAGTTAAATCATTTAGTGGAAGAGGAAAGTGTATATCACCAGAAGAATTGTGTTTCCCTTCCCCCACAAAAGTTCCCCTACCCTATTAAAATTTCCCCTCCCCCACTAGAAACTTGCTGAACCAGCAATTTGCACTCAAGTAGTTAAATATCGTCTCATAACACCACAATCCCCCATCTAGTGCCTCTTCTTTCCTTTGGCACCCATCTTCTATCATCCCGCTACCGTCTATGATTTGGACTAGATGCATCCATCATTATTTATTATTATTATTTTATTTTATTATTTATTTATTTAATATTTCAGGGTTTTGACCCCCTAATTGAGAAGTCACAGGGAGGATTTATAGTCAACATGGCAACTGTAAGTAATATTATTTTTGTAATTATTGTTATATTGATGTAGTTGTTGTATACATGCTTATTATTGTTTTTAATATTGGTTTAGGTTTATTTTTTTGGTTTAAAACTTTTTTTGTAATTATCTAATTTAGGCTTATTCCCTATATTTTCAATGCTTGATTACCATATTTTGCTGCTATATATGCAAAGAACATTAATTATGTGATTGATTATTATATTTTTTATGCTTCTATTAAGATAACATTACATTATTTTTAATAATTATCATAATTCTATTAATTATCATAGTTACTTTACTAATACTCTACCATGAATATTATCATTGTATTACTATTGTTACTATCATTATCAATTTTTAAAATTACATATTATAAATAATGTTAAGCCCTGTCAGACTATCAAAATTTATTTCACAAAAGCATATGCCTAATAATGGTGATGATGGCATCACGTCATGACCATATATAGGCACACCATGACTATATATGGTCACACCACCACTATATATGGGCACACCATGACTATATATGGTCATACAGTTGATTTGTCAAAGACAATTTGATAGTGTAGACAGAGCTTCATAGCAATTTTCCCATAATTCCTTTTTCAATATGTCGACAGATTCCAGATCTGCCATCAGTGGAAGATGCAGTAGAACTAGCAATGGAATGTAATGAAGAGGTGACGGGAGACAGAGGAGAAATGTTCTCACGGTTACAAATATCCCTCAAGAAACAGATACAGGTGAAGACAAACTACCCACAATAGACCATTTTGCTAAGCCCTGCCCCTTGGATATTGTTGCCAAGGTCCCAAAAAATTGACAGTGGTAACACCTACGAAAGCACTGTTCTGATTGGTCAGTTGTTATCTGTTTGATTGACACTTGACATTCATTAGCTCAATGTCAGTAATGTAAATTATAAGGGCACATTGTGTTTTGATTTATGTTAAACCATGAAAAATCAGAACCAAATTATTTTTGTTTTTAATTCTATAGACATGTGACTCAAACAGAAGGCAGTTTTCGCAGATGGGTAATATAAATGAAGTTGAAAAGTAAGTTAAAGTAATTAGAAATTAGAGCAGTTAAGGAGCTTGCTTTTGTTATGCTGTGTTTATTAAGTTGGTTCAGTTGTAGACAAGCCAAAAAACTGGATGGCTTCAAAGTTACGCTCTTCCATTGTAGAGCAGCTAGGGAACTTACCTTTGGTAGGGTATTGCTAGATTCAGCTTGTTTCAATTTTTGAACAGTTAGGTAGTTTGTGTCGGTAGTTATGAACTGATACTGATACTAACAATTCTTTATTCGTCATAAAAAGTACATTTTATGAAAATTTTCTTCCTTGGCAAGACACATAACATTGTTAAAATTTAAGACATACAAACAAATTAAAGACACTCCATTTAATAATACTATTATTCCATTAATCCTTCAAGAAAAAAAAAACAAGACATTAAAATATTTAAAACAGACTAAAGGAGCATTATTATAAAAGTTAATAGATAAATAAAACAAGACATAGAAAACTCAATATGGATCATTCATTATTTTTTGGTAGGTTTGAACAGATGTCGAGAACTTCACGGCAAGACTTAGACACGCTAGTAAATGCTCATGCACATGGCGACCCAATCCCTAGATTCCATTATGAATATCGTACGCTACCATCATTGAGGTAAGTGAATTAAAGTCATAATAATCTGCTGCTGATATTTGTATACCATCCTGTACATATAGCAACAGATTGAAGTTATTTTTTTTATAATATTATCATGATTTATGAAAGATTGGTATACACCCTGAGGAGGCAAGATAGCCACATAATCGTTTTGACTAGTGGCTAATAATTAGCCTCCCCTTTAAAATAGACATCAAACAGATACATGGTCCTTAGCTCACCTAACTCTCTTGAGAGGGTTATTCAAGGAGCTGAACATTTTTGTTGTTATAAAAGACCCGAGTTCAATACTCAGAGCCGGGTATCGAACCCAGGCCCTGGTGTTCAAGAGGCAGGAACCATACCAATTACCCAAACGCTCAGATTTAATATCATTATTGATGATATAATTTATGATATGGTAGCTTGTTTAATTTTGTTCGTCATTGTGCCACGATTTGTGACCAATGTTTTTATATGTTTTTTGACAATAAAATAAAGTGAAATGATATTTAATTTTTACAAAACAGTTTTTTTTTTTTTCCTTGTTACAATTGGTAGAGTGTGTCCTGACCTGTCAGAGAACCAAGCAGAAATCGTCATAATACGTGGTGTGCAACTCAGCCCTCCCTCAGGTAAACCCTCCAACATACACATTCAGTGGTTAAAAACCCCCAAACTTTTCATTAAAAATATTATATTGCTCACATAAAGGCCCATTTATACAGAATGCCATAGCAGCATGCTACAGAGACATGAATATTTTGTTGTAGGGTGCAATCCATTTACACAGAGTGCGACAACATCAATGACGCAAGCAACTTTGTGTCTTGTTCGGCAGTTCTACATGTTCATCAAAGGATGATGAGTCAGTTATTGGTCAGGCTATTTATTGCCACATGGCAGTTTTTAGAAATAGCAAATTATTCTGTGCTGCACAACACATTGTTTTGTTGCGTAGTCGTGTTGCGTTCGGTGTGGATCACCATAGGTTCAGTTTTTTCTGCCGCTGTTGCATACCGCTGTCGCAATCTGTTAAATAGGCCTTTAAGATAGCAATTGATTATCAACTGCTAATGAGACCACAGATGAAAACAAGTCAGTCTTCAATTGAACAGATTCGTGGAAGCCTTGAGTTTGGGGGCTCAAAAACAAAGCTGTGCTACGGTGCAAATCACTTGTGTCTTTAGCAAGACACATTTCATTTGTATGTCTCATGAGTTTGCCATTATTTGCCTTTTAAATAATTTTCTTTTTTTCTAGGCTATTCTGCCAAAGATTTAGATACATACGTTAAGTTTGAGTTTCCATACCCAAGTGTAAGTACAGTAATATTTTATTTCTCATTAAATTTAATATTTATTTCATATTTATTTTGCTAGCTAATTTCCCACCTTTTCCTATTGTCCCCTCTCAGATGGGACATGATTTTTGTATGAAAGTGATGTTTTTGCTTGCTAGTGTAAATAAGAACTAGAAGATTCGGAGGCCAACTAGTGTTTATTTTATTACTGCAAGATTTTTTTCTTTTTTTCTTTTACATTGTATTGATAATAAAGATTGCCAATTTTATAAAATTTATCCCGCAACAGTTCCTCCTCCCTTCCTCTTTTTAATCCACTATTGAAAATGTACAGTACTAGATGTTAGTTTTTTTTTTGTAGGATAACACACCCTCAGACAAAACCCACAGCAAAGATGGTGACAATCCTGAGTATGGTGAGTCTTTCAAATTGCCAATTAACTTGACATCAAGATCCTTTGCGGGAGCAGTCAAGAGAAAGTCTGTCAAGTTTGAAGTCTTTTATAAAAAGTGAGATTTTTTGTACTATTAATTATAACAATATTAACAGCAACAATAGGAGCAACAACAGCTGCAGCAAAAGCACCAACAGCAAAAGCAGAGCATCAGCAGCAAAAATAGCAACAACAGCAGCAAAAGCAGAGCATCAGTAGCAGCAACAGCAGCAGCAGCAACAGAGCATTAGCAGCAACAACAGCAGCAGCAGCAACAGCAGAGCATTAGCAGCAGCAGCAGCAGCAGAGCATCAGTAGCAACAACAGCAGCAAAAGCAGAGCATCAGTAGCAACAACAGCAGCAACAGAGCATTAGCAGCAACAACAACAGCAGCAGCAACAGCAGAGCATTAGCAGCAGCAGCAACAGCAGCAGCAGAGCATCAGTAGCAACAACAGCAGCAAAAGTAGAGCATCAGTAGCAACAACAGCAGCAGCAGCAGCAACAGAGCATTAGCAGCAACAACAACAGCAGCAGCAGCAACAGAGCATTAGCAGCAGCAGCAGCAACAGCAGAGCATTAGCAGCAACAGCAGCAGCAGAGCATCAGTAGCAACAACAGCAGCAGCAACAGCAGAGCATTAGCAGTAACAGCAACAGCAGCAGCAGAGCATCAGTAGCAACAACAGCAGAGCATTAGCAGTAACAGCAACAGCAGCAGCAAAAGCACCAATTTCAAAAGCAGAGCATCAGCAGCAAAAACAGCAGCAAAAGCAGAGCATCAGTAGCACAACAGCAGCAGCAGCAACAGAGCATTAGCAGCAACAACAGCAGCAGCAGGGCATCAGTAGCAACAACAGCAGCAGCAACAGCAGAGCATTAGCAGTAACAGCTATAGCAGCAGCAAAAGCACCAATTTCAAAAGCAGAGCATCAGCAGCAACAACAGCAGCAGCAACAGCAGAGCATTAGCAGCAACAACAGCAGCAGCAGAGCATCAATAGCAACAACAGCAGAGCATTAGCAGCAACAACAGCAGCAGCAGAGCATCAGTAGCAACTACAACAGCAGCAACAGCAGAGCATTAGCAGCAACAGCAGCAGCAAAAGCAGAGTACCAGTAGTAACAAAGGCAGAGTACCAGTAGTAACAACAGCAGCAACTAAAGAAGCAGCAGAAGCACCAACAGCAGCAACAAAAGTAGAGAATCGGCAGCAGAAATAGCAGCAACAGCAACAACAACAGAAGCAGCAAAAGCACCAGCAGCAGCAGCCAAAGCAGAGCATCAGCAGCAACATCAGCAGCAGCACCAACAGAAGTAGCAGAAGCACCAACAGTAGCAGCCAAAGCAGAGTACCAGCAGCAACAACAGCAGTAGCAGCAATAGAAGTATCAAAAGCACCAACAGTAGCAGCAAAAGCAGCAACAACAGCAGCATAAACAGTAGCAGCAACAACAAAAGTAGCAAAAGCAGCAGCAACAACAGAAGCAGCAACATAACAGCAATAGCTACAGCTGCAGCAGCAACAACAACAGCTACAAAAGAAGCTACAACAGCAGCTGCAACAGCAGCTCACCAGTTTTGATAGCCACATAATTATGTATCTCCTAGTAGCTACAGTTAACGCTATTTACCAGGTGCACACTCTGACAGCCAACACTCAGACAATTCAATTATTAAAGACCACCTCTGGTCAAACTGCCACCGACAATCAATAGACAGTTCTATGTCGCCAAGCATTCAAAAATAGTGGAGATGATTCATTGCCTGGACCAACTATCAGCCTATGCTGCGTATCCCTTGCTTTACTTATAAGCTACTAACATTGATTTTATTTATACATATTTTAATTCTTTCTTTATCTATCTTTTCAGGGGATTTTTAAGGAGTGATGGATTGTTGGGAACAGGTTCATTGAAATTAACAGATTTTGAAAAGAAATGTGAAATTCACGAAAGCCTTCAAGTAAGTGTAAATATAAAAGATGAAAGTTTGATATATATCTTGTAATAAAAAAACTGTTGGTAAGATAGGTAAGTGATTATATCTGAGATTGTGGGTTGAATATCCACATTTGCCCCTTGCCTGGACTTTCCACAATTTCTTATAATTTTTTTCTCATTCTGGACGGCGTCACCAACAAGTAAGTTAATTTAGAGACCTAATCCGAAAAAAATAAGAAATCAACATGTTAGCTTTAGGTACTAAGGCCAGGGATATGCCAAATAGTGAACTTAATCACTTTTGAAAGTGGCAATCCTGTCACAAGACATACACAAGATGCTCTACTAGACTCACATTATGAGGCTTAGGGCATTGAGTTCTTTTGGTCATGCTATATTTTGTATAACATGCAATAGAAAGTGAGTAATTTAAATTTAGTGCCTGGAACCCATGGGTTATCCCTTTCCTTGTGTGATACAAAAATCAGCCCTATTGTGATTGACAACAGCAATGATGTCCATGGTGAGGTCGATGATAACAACAGCGATGATGATGGACATGGCAGCGACAATGATTGTAATGATTAGGGTGGTAATGGTAATGATGATGATGTTGATGACAATGATAATGATAGTAAGTATAATAAAGATTATGAATATACAGTACATAATTGGGGTGTTTTTTACCAATTACTATTATGAATATTTGCTGTGTTTCTGTAGCTAATGGAAGGAAGAAAGCAAGTTGGTGGAAAGCTTGAAGTGAAGGTTCGCATTTATCGTCCATTATCGGGAGTGAAACACGATTTTACACGAGAAAAGTGGCTGATCATTGACGGCAGTAGCAAAATATCAACACAGGTTTGTTAAATTTTCTTATTTTTGGTCCAAGTGAAGCAGTTTGGCGCAACGGGAAAGGTTTGGTTTCCCAACCTTAAGGTCAAGGTTTCAATCCCTCGCTGGTTCATTTCGCCTGTGTCCATTGAGCAAGGCGCTTTATTTGCATTGCTTCTCTCCACCCAGGAGCATGAGTACCTAGTGGGGATGTCTGCTATTAATAATTGTAGCAACCCTTAAGCACGTGGACCCATTGACCAGAGAAAACAAACTTTGCGCTTGTCTGTTAGTAAGATTACAGAATAACTAAGGAATGGATCATCATAAAATTTAGTGAATGGTACATAATAATCTAAGAAAGAGATGATTGCATTTTGAGAGGAAAAGTTCAAAGATTAAGATCATGGTCACAGAAATTTTGATATTTAACCTTCGAGCATAAAAGGAAAAAGGGAATTGCCCATTATACACAGCCTGCGTATTGTTCGGTATACGGGCACAGGACGGATGTATGCCCTCTATAGAGTGACTGCTCTTTAAACTGGATTGTATTTTTTCTTAGGACCCCAAAAACATAAAATGTCACAACTTTTAATTTTGTTTCAATCATTTGTTACAGATTATTAATTCATTAGCTTTTGCAATTGTTTTCTTTTGTGTGTGTGTGATGTATATTGTGATTTTACTTACAGCCATTAATATTATTTTTTGTTACTTCTGTGTTCACAGATGCTTAGTACTAGAAATACTTCAAAGGTAGGTTAAGTCAAACTAAATTTATTTTTAAAGATAAATATCATTATTGGTCAAATAAATATCATACATTGCTACAAAGAATAGTATATATTTAAAGGTGGGCTAAAGCTGCCTCATTGTGACCAGATATCATTATCATTGTTATAATTATTGGTAATATTATTTATACAGTAGGTGTAATTTTGCTCTGCCTGACGTGGAAATGTACTGAATACTCAGTACGTTTGAAAACAATTGCGAAAAAAAATCGCAAGTTGTTCTCGGATGGGACTCAAACCCACAATCTCCAGATCACTAGCCTGGCATCATACCTCTAGACCACCATGCTTGCGCCTGATGGCCAGGGTTGAATTCGAGTCCGAGTAAGCAGTGGGTACTGCAGTGTTGATAGTAATTGTTATTGTCGTGATGGAATAGACAATAACTGGATTTGCGTTAGGAAAAACATGTATAGGTGTAATTTTTCCCTACCTGATGTGGAAATGTACTGAACAATATTATTATTTATAATTATTTTTTATTTTTAGTAACTAAATATTATAATTATTATTATTATTACTTTTACTAAATTATTATTATTATTTATAATTCTTACTGTTATTATTACTATTATTTGTTTAATTTTGTATGTATATTCAATTCAGATATTGTCTCATTAATGCCAGTAGTAAAATGTATCCAAAAGTGAAATAATACATTTATTGTTTTTTTGTTTTTTTTAGGGTCGTACAAGCCAAAGGTAAGTGCACTTCTCCTCCTCATGCACAGTCCTAGCTTAGTAGGTTATAGAGTACTACAGTGGTACGTCACAATACCATGTGATACTACTCCATTGCTGTCGTTGCAAAATGTGTTCAACTGGACTCCATTATCTCCACTGACAAACCATTGATCCCAATTTCTAACGTAATTATTAAAATGTTGTATCTTAGTTTTTCTTTGTAAATTTTAATTGATGATTAAATGTGTATTCGATAACTAATATAATGCGAGCTTTTGTGTTTTTAGTACATTTTGATGGTAAAATATTAGATTTTAAAATGCCTATTCCAGAAAGCCTATGAAGTCATTCAGGCGTAATGAACGGTAACCAACGTCTGGTTGGCGACAGAGGGCGCCACCTGGCATTGTGACCTCACGACTGTGGTACTCTATAGTGGGCACTACTTAAGCCATGTCTAGACTATCACATTTTATTTGACAAAAATATGGTCATGATGATATCACATCATCATGACTATATATGGGCATACAACAGTTTTTTTGTCAAATATAATTTAATAGTCTAGACAGGAATTAATATTTGTTTTATTGACACTCTAAGTCTAATAATTAATTCTAGCATGTTTTGCTTTTAATTTTCCTAATATACTTTTTATTGGTATTCTCTTTCCAGTTCTTCAATATGTTCTGCATCATGACCAGTAGTTGTAAAACTACATGGCAACATTTCCAGCATGATAATCATTAATAACTAAATTATTATTATTTTTATTATTATTATTATTATTATTATTATTATTATTATTATTATTATTATTATATATAAATATATATATTATATATAAAGAAATATTTATAAATATGTATATATATAAATATGTATATAAATAAATATGTATATATAAGAAACTGTCTCTTATACACATCTTGTGGATTATATATAAAAGTTATATATGTTGGTTTGTGAAAACATATTTCCTGTATTAACAGTGGCATATCTATGGGTCTCCCAGAATATAGCTCCCCACCCCCACCATTTCCTCTCCCACATTGAAGATGTTTAAAGCGCATCGAGGTTGTGTCAACGTGAGGCGCTATATAAATCCAGAATTATTATTATTATTATTTAAAGCAAAAAAACTCTCAAGTAGTAAATCACCTTATTTTGCGAGCTAGTTCCCTTACTTAAATATTAATGCAGGCCCACATCACTTTCGTGAGCCCATCAGGAACCCCCCTCCCCCCGACCTATTTTAAGATTCCTAGATATGCCACTGTCCATTCCACCATGATTTGAACAACCACCCCTTAATTACTGACTCAACTGAGGTATAAGGCCAAGGCTGTTGCTGCCTTGCATTTTAGCATTTAAACATTATAATTCCTAAGTATTGAATATGATAATATGCAACACATCAAACAGTTGGGTATTATGCAATTCTTTTAAATAACTTGACCTAATGGGAAAATCCAAGGAGTGCATTAATATAATGTTACCTAATACCTAATGAAAATACTATTTGATTTCTGTTCATTGCATGTTATGTAATAAATAGAGGGGTTACTTTATAATAATAGTAATAAATCTGAAAAATACCTCAATGTACTTTAGAGCTGGTAAATATAAAGGTGGTAAAAAGTGTGTTGAATTCTCATACAGAAATAATGTAGATGAAATTAATGAGCTATTCCAAATTTAATATTACTGTATTTCATTTATTAGATATTATTTAATATGGTTATCGTATTGATATATCATTACAATTGGGCCTTTCAAAACATTCTGTCTGTCACTATATACTATTCTAGTATATTTCAATCAAAGTGAGGTTATATTGTACGCTTTGAAGTGTCTGCGAGACACTTGTGAATTTATTATGGTTTTATTTGATATAATTTGTTTTATGTTGGCAATAATAATAATAAATATTCATATGGTGAAATTATCCATATTTATAAGTTACTGTAATAATATATATTCATAAAGTTTAAATTATGCATATACATAGATTAATAATGCATATTCATAGGTTAAAATGATGCACGTAAGATTGATTAATGCTTATTCATGAGGTTAAAGTGATAATTGTTTGTAATATAGAACAGTCATTGGTGCTAGTTGACCGTTACCACATCTTCAAAAGATAATAATTAGAAAGGGGTCATTCCAACCCTAACAGGATATGGTCATTAAGTCCCCAACAAAATTAATTTCAAGTTAGTTACACTTTATGAATATTCATTATTTTCCACTAATTGCGACTCAGATAATGATGGCCATAACATTACTTGCAAGTTTGCAGTAGTATGAATTTGTACTGTCGAGCCTGATTTTAATATTAATGTTTGAACAAAAAATAAGACTTTACTAATGTCAAAAAAAAATGATGGTTATTTTACTTTTGCAATAATGTAGTGTATTTGGTAATCATAATTGATATAAGAATATGATGTAATTAAAATATTTCGTAAATCATTTTAATAATGCAAAGAGTAATATATTTTACTACTTAGGATTTGCTCCTGTAAAAATGTATTTTCTTATAATTATATTAATTAAACATGTTTGCAATAAAATGGTTTTAGTTGCAATTTATTTTGAAAATCAATTGTTTACATTATTTCGATTGAAACAAGTTAATTATCATCATCATTATAAAATATTAATTATGGACTAACATTAATATTATTAACATTATATTTGTATTATTAACATTACTGTATTATTATGTTAACAATTTCAGAATTTTGGGCAGTTACTATTTCAGTCCTTTTATCACCAATTCCGTTTTCAGTATTGTTACAATTCTCGTTCGTATGCATATTCATTGGCACGCACAGTTGGTTGGTTTCACATCCTGACACCAGATAAGCACATTGCGCACTTTGAAGATAAGCAGACCAAAGTTGACAGATTGATGTGGAACGTTTACTTGATATATATTTATATTATATTGTTTACGTGACTTCGGAAACTCCCTAATATTTTGTGCATTCACCATTGTTGATAAACAATAAGGATATTTCGCAAGCTTACGAAAATGATAACGAATGCGGATACGTCAGTTTTTAGTCAACCAATCCCCCTACAGTAGCGTATCTGTCACAGCCTATAGGCTATCCATGTTTTTTTACGTGTATCAAAACGATCATATTCACATCGTAGATGTATTGTCAAGAATGTTTTAGAAAATCGAAATCTTTAAATTTATTGTACTTAAGTAATGTTTGATTGATTGTTTCTTTTTCTGTATTGTATATTTATTATTTTGGATCACAATGGAAATAAGTTTGCCTTTATAGTACTTTATTGTGTTTTTATCCTTGAATTTTATTTTTGTATTCAGAGTAAAGAAATATATAATTTTAAAATATCGTATTTGTTATCGTTTTCGTAATGTTGCGATCTACAGTACATACATTTGTATTGTCCCTTTTGCTTTTGTTTCATAATTATCCGGGTAAAATTAGGGGCTAATATTTTAGGCAGGTAACGTTGAAGTTAATTTCTTTAAGTGAGTGTAAATAATACTCCTTAAATCATTAAGAACTCTTTCTTAAATTATGCATCTTGTTAAAACTTGCTAACATATATGATTCTTTTAAATCAGCCATTCAACGAGTTTTTTTCAATTTTTAAAATATTTTTAATAGATTTTTGGGGATCCTAAATGAACACGAAAAAAAAAAAGAAAAAAAAATAATTATATATATATATATATATATATATATATATATATAC